GGCTGCGCGTTTAGCATCAATCGTTATCTGCACACCCTCATGAATGTAGTCTGCAACAGCTACAAATTCTTTCTCAGTGAATCCTCTTGTCGTCATGGCAGGTGATCCAATGCGAATGCCACCGGGCACTACAGCACTTTTATCACCTATTTCATCAAACATCGCAGGTGTAAGATCAAGAGGAAAACAAAATATAGCTCAGAGACAAATAAAAACCAGAACTACACAAACAAAATAGCTCAAAGATAAAGACCTTCAAAACTAGGCAAGTACCCAGTAGGGCCAAATAGCGCTGAAACCAGAAGTAAAGATCTGGAACCCTTAGCTTATCGGGTGAAATTATGTGAACGGCTTGATTAAACTATCAGGATATACATATCTTCCTACATTTGAACTAAAGAAAACACGTCCATTTCGTATGATTACTTGCATATAACTATTTCAAATACGGATCATGTAAAACTTCATAGCATTCAAGAACTAAATTAGCCTTATTCTGAAATCCAAAAGTTCTCTTCAATTTTTTCAACCAAATTGACCTGTACACTCACCAGGTACTGAGTTCTTGTTAAGGGTGATAGAAGCCATGTCAAGAATTTTCTCCACTCGAGCTCCATCGATACCCTATCGATAAAGGAAATGACCAATAACATTGGAAAATTAGATTTGGGTATATAACCTAATGCACAGGACCAAATAATAACTTTAATCCTTAACTAATATCCTATAATTTCATTCACAAATGAGAAAACGCAAAAAAAAAATAAAAATAGCCATTTAAACGTCCACATCTCAGGACAAGTTCTCATATAAGCAGCAATTAGAAATTAGTATCAATCCAAACAAGTAAATTAATTAACAATCTAGGACTAGGAACTTACTAAAGGCCGGAGATCCACAAGAACCAGATGGTTATCACTTCCACCAGAAACTAGTTTGTATCCAAGTTCAGTTAATCGGCTAGCAAGAGCCCTGCAATTAGACACCACCTACAAGGTAGAGTATCCACACTAACTTAGGGCATGTCTTTGACCATTTTTACATGAGGACAAAATATTGCAGTACCTGGTTCTGGTAAGCCTTAAATTCTGGGGACTGTGCATACTTCAAGCAAACTGCAAGGCCCCCAATAGTGTGGTTATGAGGACCACCCTGCATAAAGAACTCAAGCCTTTATCCTTTGTACATCAAAATTCAAAATAAATGTTTAATTTATAGAAGAATAAATAAATAATTAGGCATTGCATCGATGAGATTTGTTGTCATGAAACAAGTACAACTAACCTGTAAACCTGGGAAAACAGCATTGTTGATGGCAGTTTCTAAATCAACCCCGAGAACCGTCTCCTTCTTGAAGAAGATCATCCCACCTCTTGGACCTCTTAAAGACTGAAAAGAAGTGTCTTAAATTTGTGAGATCATCCAAATGTGGATTACAACAAGGAAGCACGAGATGAGACTACTGATGAAGTATTTGCGTTTTAGCATGTCTTAGAGTCCATTCAAGTGAAATGTTTTAATTTGGAAAAATTTAGTAAAATATAAATATATGAGTTTGAACAATACCTTGTGTGTTGTTGTTGTCACAATGTCGCAGTAGTCAAAGGGATTTGCAAGCACAGAAGCAGCAACAAGCCCACTTATGTGAGCCATATCCATCATAAGAAAAGCACCGACCGAATCCGCAATCTTCCAATGCAAATTAGATGTAATTCATTAGTTGCCAAGGAAAAACACACTGTTTATAAATGATAATGAATTCCATATCCATTACGCGAATTAAATTTATTTATATGGAATGAATACATAAATACTAACCTTCCTCATGCGAGGATAGTCAAAATCTCGAGGATAAGCACTAGCCCCGGCAATAATGAGTTTTGGTTTAAATCGGTCAGCCATTTCCTCAAGCTTGTCGTAATCAACCAGACCTGCATTTTGTTTTTGTTACGAAATAACCAACATCATTCCAAAGAATAACAATTACACCCTTAATAAATCTGAAAGGCAGCATAGTCTTATCCGGAAACAAATGCAGCACCTGTGGATTCATTGAGTCGATATGACATGGACTCAAAATAAATGGACGTGCCTGACACCCGTCTTTTAGGAGTCATGAAACCATGAGACAAATGTCCTCCGTGAGACAAGTCCAAACCCTGAGTTGCATGCACATGTTAGTAGCTAGTAGCCACCAATAAAGAGTAAACCAAATCCAGGAGGAAAACTTACCATGAGACGATCATGAGGTTTAAGAATTGCGGTATAAACCTCGAAATTAGCAGGAGAACCAGATAATGGTTGAACATTAACACCCCACTTCTTTCCATCTAAGTGAAACGCATCAAGAGCCCTCTTTTGGCAAAGTGTTTCAAGCTCATCAATATGCTCATTGCCACCATAGTACCTGAAATGTACAATCAAATGATGAGCTAAACAAGAAAAATAATTTTAATGGAAGGTCCATATTGAACTCACATTACTCTGAGTCTGTATCTGTACCTTTTACCTGGTAAACCTTCTGAATACTTGTTTGTTAGACATGAGCCAACTGCCTCCATCACTGCTCTATAAGTAAAATTTTCTGAGGCAATAAGCTCAAGACTCTTGAACTGTCGCTGCTTCTCCATATCAATAATAGCACGCACCTCAGGGTCAGCCTCACTTAATCCGTTGTCTACAAAACTGCTTCCATTACCTGTAAACCAAATTATACAATTCATGAACAAGTCAGACATAACTCCTGCTATTAACCAATGATTCCTTTCATACTACATCAGAAGTTGGGAAAATACAGCCGGAACATATGGTTCTATTAAAGATGTTTATTCATAAGGATGGTTTCGTGATAGAATTGAGTAATGAAATTCTGTAGTTATGCTAAGTAGATATTAAGAAAATAAATACACAGAGCATCAAATCCAAGCAATATAATGGAATACCATTCTGGCAGATGCTGAGCAAATTGATGGTTGTTTCGATTTTTGTATTTCTTAAGAGAAACTGAAATCAAAATTATATTATAACACCATAAAATTTGAAAAACCAGAACTATTCCTGCTGTAGAAATCTCAGAACAAAAATTTGACATGCATTTTAATAAAATTTACAAATAGAACCAAAAGTAAATAGAAATTATCGATATCAGTTCACAGGTTGGAGTAGAATTACCACCAATTTCAGGCAAAGGTACAGTGACAGAAGAGGATGGTCTTCCAGTAACCAAGCTTCCTTCTATGTAAGAAGATGATCTAATGGGCTTCACACATTTGAGCTTTAGTTGATGGGAAAATCCACTGCCAGTAAGCCCCTTGTTTGAAAAAATTGTTCCTTTGGTCCAAGAGGGTTGTTGAAGAGAACCCATCACTGCAGCTCCTCCACAAGCCTGCATCTTTACTTCCAAATCTATACCTTAAAAGCTTCCTACAGATTCTACAGAAACTCTTGGCAGTCAGCACAAGTTTAACATACAAATGATATGAATGCGCGCGCGCGCGCGCGCACACACATATATATACATTATATACATGCATATCCACATAGTAAAGACCACTATATTCTTATGAAGAAAAAGCATATACAAGAGTTCCAAATTTGTCATTAGAGAAAGTTATAAATTGTTTTCGTAAAGTAGTAAACGTAATGGATAAATCACCCAACATACAGTACTTCACTACTCAAAACTTATTTTCACACATGATGGCTACTGCCAATTCAAAAGGGAACTGTTTCCCGATGCTGATGAAACACTCATAACTCGTTGATAATTGTTACTTTTAAAGCTTCCACAAGGGCAACAAATAAGATCGTCTCATTGATCATTGTCCATCATATTCATAATAATTTACTTGCCACATGGGACATGAACAAGACTATTTCGTTAATCATTTCCCCGATAGAAATCCAACGGTATTATAACACGCACGAGTGAATTTCATTGACAAGCAGGAAACAATAAATTTAAGAAAGATACGCCTACTCTAGGGAGCGTAATGAGCCTTACACCTCAAAATGCATACTTATACAGTGCTTAAAATATCGATATGCAAATTTATTGAAATATCGATGGATATATTGATATCGGTTGCCTTCAACGGAAATTATGGAAATTTGCAATGGGTGGGTATATCAACTCATTCAGATTTAGTCAAAATTAAAGAAAAAATTCTCAAAAAAAAAAAATCAAAAGTTCGAAATCTGCAATGTGCTCCGGCAAAATTTATGTGGTGAAAGCATCATTGATATTCATTGATTTTCCTATATCTTGCCGAAATACAGTGGAGTTTAAATTTCACCCAATTTCAATATTCATTCTTGATTTTTCGAATATTTAAAGTATCGACAATCTCGTAGATACTTTAAACGGGCCTATTAGCAAAAACTTAAAAGAAAAACAAAAAAACATCAACAACAAACATCCATGTAATTGAAAAATAATATAAAACTAGTTTAAGTTGTAGTTTACTAAAGCAACAAATCACAACAACCATGTCAGTCAGTCAAACAAAAAATTATGAGAATTAAACAAGTCATTTTATCTATCCTGTTAGGCCACTGAAACTGGAAGCTCCTGAAATATGAAACTATACATACACAGAGTATTAACTGAAACAATTCATTAGCTCCTAAGTTAATCGGCTCCCTAAAACATAATTAGGACATTAACTCAGCCCCTAATTTTAAGGAAGAATAAGAAGAAGGACTTACAGAGTGAGAGCAGAGGAGGAGGAGGAGGAGGTGGAGGCTGGACTGCTGCGAAGGTAGGGATGTCGGGACTGTTTTGGCTGATTCAGTAAAGTTTTTTTTTCTTTTTTTTTAATTTGACCCTAAAATGAAGTATGGGCTATAAGTGGCCTGCGAATGGGGGCCTGCTACTTCAGCCGTGGGCTGTCCCGTCCCTTAAAGAGCCCCCCACCGAAGCCGCCGCCGCCGGCAGCTGCCTATTTAGTATTATGTTCTCCAAATCCTTCTTCAATGCTTTCGGCTTGGTGGAGGAAAATATTGCAAGTTGTCGACTGGATAGGCTAGGTGTCGAATATGTGAACTTGAGACTTTCTGGTCGTGGTTGTTGGCATAGTTGCTAGTGTATGGCTAAAAGGGAAGACAATATTCATGAACTGTAAGTGCATTTGAAGGAGAATACAGAGGAGAGAAAATAGAAGTCAGAGTGAGAAACTCTTGGGGGTAGAATGAGCGCTCGGGAAATTCTGTAAGTGGGTGTTAATCTAAATCTTGATTCCGCACTAGATCGACTTGAAGAAAAAATCCTGTTCATTAGCGGTACTGTTGAAGACTTAGAATCGTGAGGCATGGACTCTGAGATGGTAGTCCATGAAGGCGGGTGCCACTGCAAGAAGGTAAGATGGCGAGTGAAGGCGCCTAGCAGTGTCGTGGCTACGAGTTGCAACTGCTCGAATTGCTCTATGAGGGGTACCACCGCTTTCGTTGTCCCTGCCGAAAGATTTGAACTTTTGGGTGATTCTGAGCAGTTTATTACAACTTACACCTTCGGTACTCATACGGCAAAGCACACGTTCTGTAAAGTTTGTGGGATAACTTCCTTCTACTATCAACGCGAGAACCCTGATGGGGTCGCAATCACGTTTAGGTGTGTTGATCCTGGAACACTCACCTGCGTTGAGATTAAGTATTTCGACGGGAAAAATTGGGAAGTTTGACACAGTCAATCAGGCATTGTGTCGCAGTCAGAAGTGCAAACTCTGCAAAATATAGGCTAAGTCGTCGTCGTCGTGCGTTTAGGTCCTCTGGGGATTTTAAAATGTTTATGTGGAATGTTATGGCTTGTATCATTGTATGTAATGGCTACTTTCTTGTGTTGTTTTCGTCTCCCCTTATGTTTTGTTCTCGTGTTCCTTTTGTTTTGGCCAAATGTATGATTTTGGTACTTGTAGAAAACGTCCACTTTTGTCCTTGTAGTTACAATTGTTGCAATTTAGAATCCGTTTGGATGTGTGAAAATCGTTTTCTAATCAATCTCTAGTAAAAATTCATATAAGTTTTAAGAAAATACTTAAATTGTTTTGTGAAATAAACACATAACCATGCTTCTTACCTGAAACATTTCAATTGCTTTTGAAACTCAAAAGCATGTCTTTATAATATTTCGGTTATTTTAAAATACTCCGAATGAGCCATTAACTCATGTAGTTTAAGAATTGTTGGAATTTGAGGACAATCAATAATGTAGTTCTGCTACTTTTTCAATGGAATTAGCATGTGAAAGGCACGTGTGTGGCCGTTTTAGAGTTGCATAAAATATTAGGGACATTTTATTTAGACTCATTTATCCTCTTTCTATATTCAATTTTTTATTTTTTATTTTGAAATTTCAAACGTGCCAAATAATTCTCTTTCTACACCCAACATGCACAAAAAGAAAATAATAATAATTTAGCAATAGGCAACCATCCTATCTCTTCAAACCTCAACCACCCAATTTCTGACCTCCCCAACTCCCCACTGCCACCTCTCTTACTGCCCACAACAATTTGGAAATTAGAACATTATTTCCAACAACCCACGATTAAAAAACCCAAAAGAAACATGTCAATATTTTTTTTATTTTTTATTTTGGAAAAATTAATGGTATTATTAACATATGGTCCAAACACAATTAGATTTGACACGTCGACAATTTCGGCATAATTCGGACATGTTAGAAGAACTGTATGGAAGAGAGAGTTATTGTGTGGCCGGCGAAAGGTCGGGAAAGGGACATTGATGACTGAGATCTTTGGGGATTTCATTGTGGGTGATAAAAAGATAGCGGTTGGGGGTTGGGGAGGGGTATAAATTGGGGGTGGTTAGGGTTTGGAGTGATAGCATGGCCCGGGTTTTCTAGTGTTGGAATTTTATATTTTATTTTTTTGTTCTTTTTAATTATGATGTGTAGAAATAATATTGTTAGGCAGATTCGAAATTTTAAGATTAAAAACTAAAATTAGGTGTAAAAATAAGATAAATGGATTTGAATAAAATTTCCCAAAATATTATCTTTGGAAAATTGATTGGAGTTAAAGTCAAAGATAAAGATTGAAAAAAAAAATGTCAAAGATAAAGGGATGCATTGCATGGAGTAAAAGTCGATCACGAAAACCAACCACTCCTACTCTAAAAAATTAATGTACTTGTTACGCAAACATGTATTTTTATCTTTTTATTTTGTTGTTTTGGGTCAACGTATTGATGAGTGCATTTTTCCTTAACCCCTATGTAAAATATTTTTGCTCATCAACTCAAGTGATGATGATGCTAATCATCTTATTTATTATCATTATATAAATTTAAATTTAGACATTTGTGTAGTGGATAGATACAAATTTTAAAATATATACTCATCTAAATAGGTGGTGAGCACTATCACCCTTTAGTTAATGAGCAAAAATGCACCACCGTTAATGTATTAAATCAAGAGTAGTGCGTTTCAAAAAAAAAAAAAATAGTAGTTCTGCACTTATCATCTATTTGTAATATCATGTGTATCATCTCTCTAATACAAATAGGACCCACCAACACATACGGTCTCGTGAGAAAATAATCATAAATGATGATATAAATAGATAATAAAAATAGAGTAATGTTAGAGAAATTAAATTTTTTAAACCAAATTGCAAATCAAATTATGTGTCATCAATAAGAAACAAGCACGTTAATTGATACTTAATTAATAATCCAATCATCTACAACCACACCATTTAGTTTGCAAATTTGGTTTAAAAAATTTAGCATCCTTACCATTACTCATAAAAATAACAATTTTGTTAAAACAATTATATCAAACGAATGTATTCCTCTTCACTTGTAAGTAAGAGGTCTTAGATTCGATTCTTGCCAAGGACGAGCTTGAACTACATTATTGTTTAATTTATTATGAGACTAAGTTCATTTCTATTTCTTAATATAAATAATATCGTTTGTTAAAAAAAAAAAAAAAACAGTAATCAATGAAGGTGAGCATCAGCAGTGAGCAAATTGGCCCTCTGTACATGACAGTTGAAATATTAAACTCTAGAGTTGTCTTGGAGAAAAAGTCGGGAAACAAGTATAAGACTAGTAAAGGTCGATACCCCAATGCCCAGATTAAACCCACGTAAAGAAGAGAAGAAGAGAAAATGACTTCTGCAGTCGAATTGCTGCCCAAAGAATACGGCTATGTAGTCCTCGCCGTCGTTCTCTACACTTGAGTTTAGTTTGAGTTTTGTGTTTAATTTGAAACTCCTTCGTCATATTTCAGATGAATTTAGCATAGTTATCATATATATCGTTTGTCAAATTTATTGTTAATTATTTGGAATTGAGTTAGTGAGTTGGCCAGAGTCATGTGATTTGCATCTGTAGCTAAGTTCGAATCTCTCTCTCTCGTAGTGTACATAAATTTAGCGCAATTATCATATCGATCGTCAAATTTATTGTCATCTATTGTTAATTGTTTGAAATTGAGTTAGTTGAGTTGGCTAGAGCTGTGTGATCTACCTCTGTAGCTATATGTTCAAATCTCTTTCCTACATTGTAAATGAATTTAGTGTAATTATATGATCTTTGTTTGTTTGGAATTGAGTTAGTCGAGTTGGTTATAGCTGTATGATTCACCTTTGTAACCTTTGTAGCTAAGTTTGAATCTCTCTCTCTCTCTCGTAGTTTCAGCACAATTACCATTATCGTTTGTCAAATTGATTATCGTTTATCGTCAATTAATTGGAAATGGTCACCACCGCCGCAGGTACAAGGTGCCATATCCGACCATGTATGTGTCGGAATCGGAGAACAAAGATGCAAAAGTGTTCAACTGTGTGCAGAGAGGGCATCAGAACTCTCTCGAAATGATGCCAATGTTCTTTGTGCTTCTGGTATTGGGAGGTCTTAAGCATCCTTGCATCTCCGCCACCCTTGGTTTCCTCTTCACTTTCACTCGCTATTTCTACTTCAAAGGCTACGCCACCGGTGACCCCATGAACCGCCTTGCCATCGGGTATATTTGTCATTCGAATTTTAGAATAGTCATATGTAGATGTGGTAAATCAATTTATTAGGTTGCTATTGGATATCGGCAAAGATCCGTTTAATTTGGAACTCAACAAAAAAAAAAAAAACCTATTTAATATAAAAGCACCATGATATAAGGGTGCGATTAGTAGTGATAATGATATTGTAAGATGAAATTAAACTAAATGAATTTTAATTGATACCCATTATGCACTCGCCTCATTTTCATAATAGAGAAATGGAGATATCAAGAAATTTGAGATGGGAGTGTAGATGAGCTATTAGTCCTCGTCTGTTAGAAGGGATTTATTTTGGAATTATTTACCATATTGAAGTCATTTTGAATGAAGAAATGGATGACAATTTTTTTTCTTTTGTCTAAGTTTAAAAGTTGTCTTTTTTAGTGTGAATAATCCTACAAAGTACATGCTCTCAATAAACGAGGCATTAGGGTTTTGTTTATATATATATGCGGAAAGAGATCCGGATCTTTTTCCTCTAAAGCCATCAAATCAAGTGATTCGGACCTTTGAAATTTGATATAACGGTTAAAAATTATTACAACTTTTAAAAGTTTTTACTAACTTCTCTGTTTTTAGCAATTGGATTAAATTTCAAGGGCCCAGATCACTTGATTTGGTGGTTTTGGAGGAAGAGATCCGAATAGGATCTCTTTCCTATATATGCAATTTTAAGCCATATTCTTTTGTTAATATCTATCTCGCATGATATGTTATGCGACCAACACCATATTCTTATATGCAATTTTAAGCCATAGTCTTATGTTATAAGACTGTAAATATTGACCGATAATATATTCAGATCAATAAGATTTCACTTATCAATGATACAAATTTTTATGTGACAAGCACCATAACATGTCAGACTTAATTTACACTTCGTTATTGTAAAATGACAGGAAATACGGGTTCTTGGCTATAATCGGGCTTATAGGGTGCACAATTTCGTTTGGGGTCAGTCTTCTTCTTCTAGGATAAAGAAAAAGCTGAACGAAGCTCTCATCTCAGACTCTTATGGCGGGGGAGAGCTTGCTTGCTTGCTTACTATTGCTGTCTCATATGCGCTGCTGCAAAGGTCCTGCAGTTTTCCTTTTGTTTGTAGTGTTGGCTTTGAATAAGAAAGAAAGTGCAAGATATAGGAAGGACGGAGTGTGTCTGTTGCGCTTTGTAGGCCTACTTTTGATGTTTTATGCATATAATTGTTTAAGATACATGATTTTCATATGGTTAAACATCAGGTTAATTTTATGCCAGTTAGGACTCGTTTGGAAAGTGTACTTTTAAAATAACCGAAATCATTTTGATGAAAGTTTTTTTATGGAACTAATCCTTACTAAAAATGCAAGTGAATCTTAGAAAAACACATGTGCTTCCTACATAATGCTTTTGGAGGCCAAAAACAATTTCACCAAGAGTGTTTCAAGTTATTTTAAAAACACTTTCAAACGAGCGCTTAGTCAGAAGAATATATTCATTGTTTACTGTTTGCAGTTGAGTTCGAGTCGGCCTCTCTAATAAGCAAGAATAGTTTATAACATGATATTGTCAATAGTTTGTAACATGGCCAATCCAAAAATTCACGACCATCAAGTCCAATTGGTTTCTTTCTGGTATCTTTATGAAAGACCAAATTTGTTAAGAGAGACAAACATTAACATACAAGACCAAAGCAAGGCAATGGCCAGCAGGCCAGAACCAGAAACAAGAATTAAAAGAGACGAGCATAGAAAGAATTTGGTAGAAGTTAAAGGAACACAATAATTACAAATTAGTGGGGAATGGAAGATTCTCTTTCTTCCGAGGCCGAGATGAAACCCGCACACCACTTTGGCAAGTTGCCCCTTGCTACCAACCATGCTTCAGCCTCTTTGAGTCATTTGAGATATTTTGTCAGGCATCATGCTTGAATGGTATTTGGGTTCAAGAAGAATAACAAATGAATTTTTGTCAATTTCATGTGTAGGAAAAGTGGTGAGGGGGGCAATTGCATATATTGGCTCCTATGTGGATCCATCAGTAGGCTCGTATACAATTTGATCCAAGCAAAATTGGTGCCAAACTCTATAACCCTAAGCGGTCGTGAAAGAATAAATGGGAATTTGGTGACATGTCACATGATTTGTAAATTTAATCTTAAAAGTTGGTCTAAGCATTATTCTTTTTCTTAACCAAGGCGATTTTACATAACTAATCATTTGTGAACCTAATGGGTTAAGTCGATTTAACTCAAGTGTATCTTGTACTCGTTATCCTAATAGTGAAGAGCAGTATCTCTCTAAGGTCGTAAGCATAATTTTGTCGAATCTCGTAAATTTCTCGGTGTCTTTATTTCTTGTATTTTATTCTGCTTAAGTGTAGGTTTGTATTTTGGTGAGGTTGTAATCTAAATCTCGGTTCCGTACTGACTTACCATTAAACTAGAATAGGATCGACTTGAATGAACTGGAATTGCAATTGTATATTTGGGTTTCATTTACTGCAACAAATTGTTATGATGTGCTGTTTATTGACAGGTCAGAGCGTGTGTGTCACAGCCTGTCCCGGGATTTTTATATCGGGGACGTGAAATGACGGAATTACCCTTGACGGGTATTAAGGTATGTGTGTGTGGCATTATTTAGACTTAAATTCTTAACCTTGGACTTTGCTTATGTGGGATATTTTTTGTGTGTGGTTAGGGAGCTAGGATGAGAAATTGATGATGTGGATTTGCGTTGGACCACACAAACACACACACGCACTCCCTGCTCTCTCTCCCTTCCCCCGTGCTTTCTCTCTCTCTTCCCTCACGACTCTCTCTCACTCTCTCCCTCTCGAAATAGTACGGACAAGACCAAAACCCTTCAAAACTTTGCGGATCGAAGCAAATAAGGTATGATTCTTCATCCTTTTGATATTCTGAGTTGAATGGTACTAGTTTTAGGAAGTGAAACCCTCGGAATCGTCGTGGAACCCTAACCCCGAAAATGTGCACTGTTCATGCACACGTGAAATCTTACATTTCAGGGAATTTCAAGCTCACAGTGAGCTTAAGGACATCCTCACGAGCTTCGGGGTACTTCGTTGGTAACATTTGGACGTCGGAGGACCGAGAACGGAGTTTCTCAAAATTTTCGAATTATCGTGCTTCCCCAGGTAAAATCTAGTGAATTTTAGACCTTGAAACTAGTCTATCGTGATTCTACATGTTGAGGGCTTCAAATTGATATAAAATTCGAAGAAAACGGTTGAGAAACGAAGGAGAACAAGCAATTACAAAATTCGTCGGAATCTGGCCACCGGAAAAACCAGTCCGACGAGCCCAGGGTAGGAGACAACACGCGCGACACGTGGCCTGCGCGTAACCGCGCGTCTGGCCGTGCCTTGGCCGGCGCATGACGGCGCGTGGGGCTTCCAAAAAATTTTCTAAAAATTCCTCGTCGTTCGTGACGTCGAGTAGGTCGTTGTGGTATATTCACATACCCAAATTGAGCACCGTATGAAAAGTTATTTCGAATTATTGGTTATGTGTTTTAATTAACGTTTTTATAATTGTTTCGCATATAGGTGACACCTATCCCGAGGACGAGCGCATCCAGGGACGTCACGGGGGTTACGACCCATCGACTTACCAGTGAGTGGGCAGCTTTGTTTTCGTATTACCTATATACTACTGTTTTTCCCAGAAAATGCATTTATATGAAAATATGTTTTAAAATGCCATGCATGCAATTGATGAGATATTTGAATTGATAATTGATGCATATATATATGAATTGACGTTGTGGACGCACAAGTGAGTTTTTACATTATTCATACGATTTATTTATGTGAATTGCATTGAAAGCTCATAACCTGCACCCTAGGTGTTAGTGCTTATATTATTCACCACACCGCAGGCTCGCCTTGGATCCAAGTAGGTGACTGTCGTACAGACCATGTGAGGGTTTCGACATGCTAGTCGTATAGATCACTAGATGTGATTCCGACTAGTGGGTGACCTTAGTTATGCGCGCCATGATTGATGAGAGAAGCACTAGAGCGTATTCTTACACCTTTCATCGTACAGACTACCTTACGTAGTTCCGAGTGACGTGCAGAGTATGGCCGTATAGGTCACTGTGGTGACTCCGGCTGAGTGGGATATTGAGCTATAAAATCAGCCGTCATGACCATTGTAGGGTCTCCGGTTGATTTATTATTTCACCTGATTTATATCGATGCATTCATATTATATTTTGGCATGGCATGGCATGGCATATTCTTTCTGAAAAGCGTTGAAAGATTGTGAGCTGAGTTTGATGATATATGTATATATGTTTTATAATAAATTTCTGGGAAAGTATACAGGTTTTACGGTGAGGGGTTAGAAATGTTTTAAAGGAAATGTTTTGGAAAATCTTTGATTTTACTGACCCACTCATCTTTGTTTTGCGCCCCTCCAGGTTCTAGTTAGTAGTTGGTGGCTCACAAGGTCTTTTTCGGCGTTCTGCATGTAGGACTCACCTGCGGGTGTTGTACTTTTAATTATAGTCCTACTAGACTGCACTTGATACCTACGCTTTGAATTCGTGTGTTTTACTTTAGAACTCACTCTTTTATGCTAGTAGGTTATTACTGCTAGTGGTTGGTTTAAATTCCTTCATATTTCTATTATCTCTTGCTTCCGTGTCGCACTTTTGGCTACGTCACGCTCACGTGACGGCCAACACGCTTTGATTCTAGGATCGGGGTGTGTCAGTTTGGTATCAGAGCCTAGGTTGCAGTCCTGTATAATTGTTAATGCTCTAATGATCTTTTGATGTTTTCTGTCAGAATTATGTCGCCTTGTAGGGAACGTAGGGAATCCCGCCGTACTTCTGAACCTAATTTCCCTGATATCACTCAGTTAGGGGAAGCAATGGCCCAGGCTTTTCAGAATGCAATTCGTCCTCCTCCCCCTCCTCAGATGACACCCCTGGAGACTATGTACAATTTGAAATTGGATCGTTTTATGGGTAATGAGGGTCACAAAGGGGCAGAGAAATGGCTAGACCATATTGAGAAGACGTTTCAGGTGATGCAAAGTCAGGGGAACTTTCCTGCTGATAGGTGGGTTGAGACCACTACCTGGTTTTTGGGTCGAGAGCCGGCAGGTTGGTGGAGGAATCAAACTCAGTTTATGTCCCCAGAAATGGTAGCTGATTGGGAAGTATTTAAAGAGTCAAGAAAAGATTTGTCCCTCCAGAGTACATCGATCGCAAGAAACAGGAGTTTACTCGTTTGAAGCAAAGGAATATGTCAGCGCACGAGTACTACAGAAAGTTTACTGATTTGTCTCGTTATGACCCTGATACAGCTGGTAATCAGGTAGAGATGCTTCGACGTTTCAAGTTGGGAACTAAGAGAAAATGGTGGACTTTTGCCAGTGCACTTCCCTGCGCCGATTATCATGAGTTTTTCGAAATTTTGGTTCGGATGGAGGACTCCGACAATCTTCCTAGTGACAGTGAGGATGACGAGGACAAGAATGATGGTCAGAAGAAGGATGATAAAGGTAAGGGTATCTCCATTCCGGGACCTCGTAAGACGCAGAATTTTAAGAAGAATGGAGCGAGTTCGAGTTCTTCTAGTGGATGATATAGTATTACTGGCTCGAGGAGAGGTGGTGGAGGATTTTCTGATGGACCCAGATTTCAGAGGCAGAGGGATTCCGGTGGTGCTGGTGGTTTTGGTGCTCCGTGGTGCCGCCGTTGTAATTTTCGTCATCATGGTGAGTGCAGGAGAGGTGGTAGTGCTTGTTATACTTGTGGACAAATGGGACATCGGGCTTCTCAGTGTCCCCAGGGTCAGCAGAGACCTTAGCAGACCACTATGCCCTCTACCATCACTGGACTCCCAAGATACACACTATCAACATAACATTTATCTCCTTTAGGCATGGCAAACTCTAAATCAAATCCTAGAGGTGAAGGGTGAGGTTGAGTCATTTGAGCAAACGTATGAGAAATCACAGAATGCGTAGCACCACAATCAATCAAAACTCTAGCAAAATGACCAAGAACATTTAACGTACCCATGATCAAATCTGGATGGTTCTGAGCATCTTGCAGTGAGATGTGATTAACACGTCCCTGAGCTTGCTGTCGTCCACCACGACCTCTGTTGCCTTGATTACCTCGCCCCTGAGAAGTACGTCCCTGGCCTGACTGACTAGACTACCTAGATGATCCTACACCACTAGCAGCAACTTCCCCCTAACGGGGTTGACCTCCCTGATGCCACTGAGATCCACCAGCTGGCATGGAAGAATAAGAAGAATAACCCCCAAGGTCTTGGGAATACCAAGTCTGAGAATAA